TCTGTTTGGACGAATTATGAGCGCTAGGCATACCAGTCCGCCCATGAAAGCTCCGTGTCAAGGGGCTCAGAGATACCAGGCTCTGGACCATCTAAGGTTGCCGACATGGAAAAATTAGATTTACATGGAAAAATTAGATTTTATATACCATTTACATTTGGCAATATGGCTGTATTGCCTTCGAAGTGCCCTCCTTGATATGCAAAGAGAGGAATAGGGCCTTGAGATCTGATTGTGCCGCTGTCGAAAGCTCTCCCCCAAAAAGCCTTCCTTTGAGTCACGTGCTCAACACCCGGGTAAGTGAAGGTAAGTAAGGAACAGTCCCAGCCAGAAATAGCTGCGGAAATCCGCCTTCTTAATTCTTTACATGGTTCTGAGTAGACCATTGTCAATACCGGGTTTTGATTGTGACTCATTTTGTCGTAGTCCTATCCTAAATTCTTCTGAGCTGAAATACGCATACACTCAGAGGATCTGGAAGATTCCCCACATGTGCTCCTACAAGCTGACCGCGATGACAAATCTGAGGATTCTTCTGTCAGATTGATCCAATGTGGCTTCTTCTTGAGTGCGAGAATGAACCATTTTTTAAGCGCGGTTCTCCTCCTGAGAATCCGAATCATTGGCTACAAAGACCTGAGGACAAAAGTTCCCAGACAGATTCTGACCAATCACGCATTCCTATTTCGCGTCTCGACTGCTCTTTCGGACAAGTGGATAATCTACAGCTGACTCGGCCTCACTATGTTAGACCCAGTTCAGAATTGGAATAACAGGGCCTTCGTTGCTTCCCGTTTAGCCAGACCTACTAAGTGCTTGAACCTTGCACATTGGGACGCGCCTTTCAATAATCTGAGTCCCTTGCGTTGGCCTCGCGCGGTTGTGCGTTAACATGGGGCATCGCACCGGATGAACAAAGGACCATATTTTTCTGCAGTTGTTCGGCGATCCAGGTCCCCTGAGAGTTTTTCGCCCTTGCATCTTTTGGGATTGTGAAGTGACCAAATGTTTGTCCCAAATGGAGCTCGTTTTTCGCTGGCAGTTGCAAGAGACCAAGCCTTGCACTTCCTACATGCATCACTTTGCCGCATGTCCAGAGAAAGGCGAGCCCAACCTTTGGAGACGGCAACCACATCGGGTGGTTTTCTCTAATTGCCTTTGACGCATTTGTTGATTGGGGCAATTCCCTTCCCTTCCCCCCAATAAATACCCCTGAATATCTTTGTCAACAGGGCAACTCCCTTCCCTTCCCGAGAAATAACTGCGAAGATGTTCGCCCACACAAACGAGACCTCAATATGTTTATGCCCCAAAAAGCTTCCGCTACCGTCCTCCAAAATGCCCCCCCCTTCCCTTTCCTGGGCCTCTGGGCGGAAAGGAATCGCAGCTGTCCGAGAAAGGAATTTTAGACAAGAAGTCGAAGTCAATGCATGGCTGTTGTTGGGAAACATTTGATTCCCATTTTTGCTTATTGTGGTTTAGTGGTTGAAATCCCCTCTTAACGGCTAAAATTCAATTTTTGGCTCCCCTTCCAACGTCAACCAAGTTCTGCAGGTCTCGTATTGATTTACAACTTAGTATTGGTCTGGTGCTGGTTCCAGAATGTCCCCGAAATAGACCGGAGAGAAGGGTCGGCGGAAAGTTTGCTGGCTTAGAATTGGTTGTGCATTGGCTACATGGTTTGGTATTGGGAGATATGTGGCGCTAGAAACATGGTCGTGTTCAGAGGGTGCATTTATTTTATAGGGGAAAGAGATTCATGAAGGCAGACGGCAGACGCACACTCGAACAATCAGATGGGGAATGAGGCGAACTACGACCACAGAGGGGAGGTAGATGTTACTTTGCGCAAACCACGTTTTTGAGGGAAAGAGCGATCTCAAATCAGAGGACACTAGTTGGACCCATCCGTGCAAAAACACGTTGGGTCGCTTACCCGGCAGTCTCCAGGCCTATGCAGGATATGGCAGGGCCCCAGACGTCCAGCAGATCAAGAGGAAGGGCACTCAGCTCCTCGGCTAGGGAAGAGTTTGGGTTCAATCTCCTTCCTGGGCCATCAAGTAAGCAACCAGAGCTTGAAAGGAAACCAGACTCGTGGCTCCAACCCACAGGAAGTTGTATCGCCCAACCCTCCGAGACCGAGTTGTAGGGTTGAGCAACATTCGTGTGTTTGCTTGCCTCGCCACCTTTGTTCCTTTTTGTGGGCAAAGTTGGCCCGAAACATGATTGCATAAACAGCGGAAGCCATAGGTGTCCTTTTGATAGTCGGTTAGTTTGGTTACACAAATTTTGAACCTACTAAGCTTAGATTCCGTTTTGTGCCCTATTTGCCGCTTCTGAGCTTTCCATGCAGGAAAACCCCGCAAAAAATAGACGGGCCACTGGCTTAGATTCCGGCTCCGTGTTTTCCATAGAAGCCCTACCCAAGAAAGATCACCTCGCTGGATTTGTGTGGCGGGAACGGTTGAGGTACCTGGACACAGAGTTCCCCAAGCTGGGCCGCATCGTGCCGCTGGGATGATGTCGAGATGGGCCAGGGGAATAGATCAAAGAGGGTTTTCAATAGGATGACCATTGCTCGGAAAACCGCAAAAACAAATCAAGATCATGATCATCAAATATCATCAAATATCATCAGCATAAAGAGCAGGTTTGACTTCCCCCCACACGGAAATATCAACATCAGCATAAAGAGCAGGTTTGACTTCCCCCCACACGGAAATATCAACATCAGCATTAAGAGCAGGTTTGACTTCCCCCGACACGGAAATATCAACATCAGCATAAAGAGCAGGTTTGACTTCCCCCCACACGGAAGAAGTTCTCCCAGGTCAGTTTGGGGGGCCGAACGGAATATTGATCAGCCACGTGTCAATATGTTTGGGAACCCCCCAAAAATGATGGTGATGTGTGTTCTGTTCTTTCCCTTTCATGAGTTATTGGAAGATCATTCGCCTCAAAAAACATACAACATATGAGTCAAGGATAGCAGGGAGCTGCGAATGTTGTTTGTGGTGCATGACCCAAAACTGGTGAATTCCCCATTTGGGGGCAGCATTTAGGAATCTTAGTTGCTTCCTTTGCGCCCTACATGTTCCATCCCAAAACAATCCTCAACAACGCCTAGGTGCTTCTTCGGGATGCTTCCCACCCTGCAATATGACGAAAATGATCCCAACCGCAGTTTTCTGAACTCAGCAACAGGAGCCAAAACCAATCCACCCCATGTTGGGCGGCTCCCTTGTTGGAAGACAGACCCGTTTGTTTGTTTGCTCCTTTGTCGGTGCAGTTCGCCAGCGTTCGCTTTGTGTCACCCGTCAGGTCCGTGCACGGCGATGACATCATGTAGCTGCTTGATCGCAGATGCACAATGCTGACTGGAGCTGTGACATGACGGGAATCCTATAGGTAGCACCCTATAACTCACAAGAGCAACGCTTTGGACCAACGAATCTCTTCTGCGAAGCCAAAAAGGGGCAGGTCTCTCTGAGTGGATCTCAACACCCTGATCTCAATGCCGGATCCGCCCCCTTTTCCTAGGTTCGGACATTGGGTTCTCTGGATGCCCCCTTTCGGAGGTTTCAAACCGCCAGAGTGGTGTAGCTGCCCGAGCAGTGTGGGGAAATCAAAAGCCATGTATGCTGCCAGACGGGCGCAGTTTGTACTTGGCGCAGTTTGTGTGCAAGTGTCATTCTGCGCAGCGATTTGTCAGTCAGCTCTAGAAGCAGATGGCCAGGTCGGGAAAATAGGTCTGGGATGAGTTTGTTTCGAGTGAGGTCACAGACCTCCAGAATCGGAGCCAAAGATATAGAAAGCTCATGTTTCAGCTGCTTGATGTCGCTATCCGCGTGCCGAGGCTTGATTCAAGGCAGCGATCCTAGTTTCGATTTCGTTCCCGCGGGCCATTCCCGTGAGAAGTCGTGTGAGATGCCTTTGGGGCTTCTCGACAGTTTCAGGAGAGACCTTCGGGTTTCTCCTTGCTTTTTAACCGCCTGGCCGTTTTTGTTGGCGTGGATGTTCAAGAATTCTCAACCAGTCACCGAAAAAGTCAACAAGGAGTGGCGCTTCGTAGCGCTGCCAGGCCACAAGGGTTTGAAGTAGACTCGGTTCCCGGAGACAGCAACCAGTCTTCGTCCGCACGCGGAACAGAAAAGAAGCGACACTCTGGGGAGGTGCGCTGGTTGTGTAATTTGCCCCGAGGTTTTTTTGCAGTCAACAGTTAGGCCTTGTTGCTTGGGAGTTAGTAGGGATGGTCATGAAACCTGGCGGGTGCTGGCCGTCAACTCAGCCAGAGCTGATGCACCCTGTGCCAAGTCGGGGGTCGCGGCAACGACAGCGGGGAATGTGTTGCCAAACGGGGCCGTAGGGGCCTATTTTGGAAGCTGATGACATGCTGTGCCCGCCTCAACAGCTCTTGCATAGCCGGCAACTTGTTCACGCGATTGATTTTTTGCAGTGTGCTTTGAATGCAGTTGCTTTGGATTGCCACGAGCGCACCCAATCTTCACAGTCCTCTAGTCCAGTGGTGTGGTTCCCCCTGCCAAAGATGGATGAATCCAAGCTTGCTCCCTTCATGTCCACAGAATTGTCACATGCCATAGCCAACACAGTCTTTATTTGGGGTCAATGATGCGTCATTCTGTTTCAGGCATAGGTGTCTTGGACAAATCGCTGGGATTCCCCGGTACATGGAATAAAAACCCCATCTAAACCAGTGGAACCCATAGAGAACTCGAACCCGATCGACCGATCAAAAGGACACCCAGTGGTTTCCAGCCGGCTCGCCGGCTCAACGGCTCGTAGGCGGCTGGAAGCTCCAAAGCGAGAAGCGGTTGCCCTGATGTGTTTGGTTCCAAAAGCTTCACCTCTAGGCGGTTCCCAGTCCCCTTAGGGTTTAGTGGTTGCCATGAAAAAGCCACTAAAACTTAGATCCACTTTTGGTCGTGGATCTGACAGCCAAAAGTTTAATTGCCGGGTCCGTTTTCGGTCGGCTCGTGCAGGTGGCGGTTGCCGGGCTGACACAAGGCCGCGAGGTGCTTGCAGCCAAAGGCAGGGAGTGACTCGTGGGATTGGCTCGGACGTGGACAGAACATCAAGAACTTGACTGCTATTGGGCAACGGATCTTTAGACTTTAGCTTTTTGGGAAATCAAGGGGTTTTTCACTAAACCCCAAAAAGTTAAACTTTTGTTGCGGGGCGGTCAAGAGCAACCAAGAGAAGAAACACTTGGCTACCGTATGAAATTTAGCTCGGGAATCACCTCAACAATTGGTGGATGTTGGTGGACACAAATTCCCCATGAAGAATTGATGTCCACCAAAGCAGGTTTGGGTTTCCGTGTCAATCTTCAGCGGAGCAGAATGCTAGTCTAATACGTGATGATACGTGCCAATCGTGGCTTGTAGTACTCTTACAGTATCCTCGTCGTGTGCCTATGATGAGCAACGGACAAAGCTTTACTACTTGCAATCGTGACAAATGGAGCAGATATCCTTGCCATAGCCACCGAAAAGTGGTTTATACATACATGTTACCAGAGGTGGGGCATTCCGAAAGAAGTGAGCACCAGCGTCACGGCAAAAGCTACGGTGCCTTGAGGCGTCCGGATGTCCGAACAAGATCTTCCTGACACGGAAGACCGCCAAAACGCACGTTCGAATGGCAAAAGGCCGAGACCCACGTCAGTACAGTGCGGTCAAGAAAGAGTCCAGAAAAGATGACTCGGGTTGCTGGTATGCCTGAGGTTGAGCGTTTTCAGGCAACTTGCTGAGGTTTTGGCTTGGGGCTCATGGACCTCGGCAAAGCCGGCGGGGTATTCCGAGGAGTCTGACCCGTTCTTCTTTTTGGTCAGCTCAAACATCAGCTTCTCGGCCATCTGAGGGTATCTCTTGTTGGGCTGGCGTTTTGGGGGGGACCTTGCAGCGGTTCCTGCTAGACCGCGTTTCGGTCTATGGGGCGAGCGCTCCGCTCGCTCAGTTCGGAGGTCAGCAGCTGCAAGAGCAGCTGGTGGAGAGGACCGCAAAACAGGACTGCGCTGAGAAGGACAAAGGGGACGGTCCTCACATCGGCTGCTCTTTGGTTAGAAATGGCCATGGGTCAAAATCCAAATCGGTTAGCCCCCAGTGAACGTCCCCATCCAACCACAATAGGTTCTAGAATGGGTGGTGAATTCACCTACCCCAAAATGGTACCATTGGTTTTGGCCCACAGCCAAATCGCCTGTTGACCTGTAGGACCAGTGGGACCAGCGTTTGCACTGGTTGACTGACTCACTCCCTTGCAAACCGCGAGTCTCTTGAGCCACAATCAGATGAAGGATAGCAAGGGACAATCCCAACCAGAAATAGCCGCGGCCGCCCCTGAATTCTTTACATGGTTCTGGGTAGACCATTTGAATATCTGGTTTTGATTATGACTCCTTTGGCGCAGAGAACAGAGTCTTCTCCTGAAGCCATGAGGACAAAGTGGATGTCTTTCAGTTGCCTTTGCGTGTGGATGTGGGTGGGGAATCAATGCAAGTTGCCTCTTTTTAGGAGCTTGATTCATTCAAAGGCCTTTCTGTGGAGGTCCCTTTAAAGGGATCTCCAATTTTCACCCCATGCCCTGAAAGCTGTCTTCGCTTCCCATGGCTTCCGTTAGAATTACGCGTGAAGTTGGGTATTCGTTGGTCTTGTCTCGGGACCAAATTGGCTTCTCGAGAAGGGCGCTGTCTTAAGTCGTGTCGGAAAAGATCAACCCAGGACCCTCAACAGCCCCCGGAGCCCTCTGGAACCGAATCTTTTCCCCTTTCTCCCGCGTCCGGGATCAACCAAGTCCAAATTCCGCTTTCTTCCAGCTTTTGGGGAAAGACCGGGCCTCCCCGCTTGCTTTCGTCCTTGTTGGTTGCTTTGCTAGAAAAATAGATGGCGATTCCTGGGTTACCTGGTGGTTTTCTCATCTACCGGGGAAACCCATCTATTTCGCGTAACAGGACACCTATGCTCGCAACCCTCAAAGAAATTCAAACTTCACAGTCCCGTCCGAAAAGCCGATCGGTAGGCCGAGCTCAGCCGGCGGATCGCTGAAGACACGGCCAGGCACCAGGAGTCTGGGCCTCACTGCGTTTTGGGCAGGGATCGCCCTATGAAACCACCTGAGCCACTTGCTCATTTTTTTGGGGGATTGATGGTTAGGGGCAGTCCCAGCCAGAAATAACTGCGGAATTCCGGCCTCTTAATTCTTGAAGCATGGTTCTGGTCCGTCACCATTTGTGTACCGGGTTTTGAGCAAGTGACTCTGAAATTCAACCAGCCCGGCACCTTACGCTTTTCTTGGCTTGTTGGTTCGATTTGTGGCAGCGTCCAGTTAACCCGCTGACAGTTAGTCACTTTTTGTAGGGGATGCGATGATGAAACGGATGGTTTTGTTCGGGTGTTCCGCTCTTCCCTGCGACCAAGCAAAGGTATACCCTGGAAGTGAAGGATGGGTAGATCCAACGATTGCACAATGGTTCAGTTTACATGGGGCACCACATTCAGACGCCAGATCAAGAAATCGCTGGTTTATTTATACGCGGTGTTGCCATGTTCAAGGCAAACCTTCACTTCACTCGGTATACGCCTAGCGGATGCATCAAGCTTTCCACGCTGGCATCCCAATTTAGGGATCCGTGTTGCCACCGTTTGGTGCGTCCCCGCTTTCTTTGGTTGCATCCCTGTGCCAAAGAAGAAGCACCCTAAAAGAGGGTGTCACTGAAAAGGATACGCACATACAAACACAGAAGCCACCCAAAGGCCGTCAGCACAAAAAATATCCAAGGTCTTGTCCGAGTCAAATTCGCCTCATGGTCCTCAGTTCCGAGTTGTTTTGTCCTATGCAAAAGAGAACTTGTGTCACGCAGGTATGAATGAGAGGCCCTTTCAGCAGGTCCTTCCTGGGTTTATAGACATCTTTGTAGAGGCGAAGATCAATGGGCAGCTCAAATGTCGTCAACATTGCTGCTGTCATTTTTGTTCAAAGAAAGCCCACGGGAGACCAAGCAATTATTGGGTCCTTTTTCAGGCCTGCAAATCAACATGGAGGGCGCATGTCCCCGTTTGGCAGACTCGAATCTCCTTGACTTTGGTGCATTTTGCTTGGATGTTAGGACTTTAACTGTTTGCCAACTAATGGGTTTTCGCCACTAAAAGTTATTCACTTTTAGCAGGGCTTCGCAGATTTCGCCACCGAGTTAAAAAGTGGGGCATTGGTTGGCGGCTTTCATTGAGGAAACGCCATGGCTTTGAGCTGGGCGGTGCGCCAAGGCTGCGCTTAGCCACTGACGAGCTGCAGCAGCAGCTGCTGGCCGTGTCGCGCACCTTGCGCAGCGATCGAAGGATTTATCCCCGCACCCTTAAAAATGGAGCTGGGGGAGGGGGGCGTTCGACCCCTGGAGATCTCCATTTGTAGGAACCCATTTTCCCTTTCATGAAGACTAGATGGCATCGGGGGACCCTCCTACCCCCTCTCCCCGATAGGGGGGATATCGAAGCGCAAAAAAGAGCTTGAGGAGGTCTGGAGTTGTGTCTGGGCGGCCGGTTCGCCGTGGAACTGTCTGCGTGCTTTTTCCGAGTTTGAGGGGGCGGGGGGGAAGGCCTTTGCCTGGATGAATGTCTGTGTTTGAGTGGTTGAGGTAGGCTTAAAGATATTTTGATTGCACATGTTGCTTGGGTGGTTGTAAAGATATGGTTATGAGGTTTAATAGGGAACCACCTCGGAAATGGTTTGGGGAACATGAATCCCAACAAAAATGATGTCCAAAGGGTTCTTATTTGAAATGCATGCCCATGCTTATGTTTGAACATTGATGCCGAGCTCTTATGTTTATTGCGGTAGAATTCTACCTTTTGGGCCGTGAAGTGGGGTTCCTTTGGGCTGCGTCCGGGGCAAGCTGGGCAACCACCCGCGAACAGCTGGGGCTCTTTTGGCTTGAAACCAAACCCAAGAAGGGCATGTGCAGACAATCTTCGAAACGAGCGGAAATGTCTTGGGGATTCCTTTCGAAAGCTTCCAAAGTGCCCGGCATTTTGATTCCACCCGTCTGAGATTCAGGGGTACACCCGTTCACCTAGAGCCCACAAATAGTCCAAGACTATGTGCTCCCATTTGGCCTAGGCTCGGCGAAGGTCTCCAAGCAATCGGGCAGATGGACTTTGTTTTCCCTGGCAGGTTGGTGGATTCTTTCCAAGCAAGACACCCCTGCAACCCTGAGACATTTGGCTTGGGTTGGCAGGGATCTTGTCTTTTGCAGCGCAAAACATGGCAGTTTTGCAGAAAATTGAAGGGGTGTCCAACTGGTTCCTCCACTTGACATTGGGGTTGTACAGACACACTGACTGGACTTGTTTTTGGGCCTTCTCCTTCTTTCCCCCTCCCCAACAAATCGCTGCGTCGAACAGACACTGCCGCATGCCTCAGGCCGCAACAGGACTCTCCGCGGCTTGCTGCCAGCGGGTTGATCCAAAAGCGGGCACTGGCACGAGTGAGCCGTGCAGCATCTGTTTGTTGCCGGACGCCTGAAAGGGATGACTTGGAATTGTGTATGTCTATGTCATAGTTTAGACTTACATACATGCATGCACACATGTTTTGTGTATATATATATATATATATCATAGAGTATCCTGTTTGCTGTTTGGGTCAGAAGTCGCTTCGGCTCCTTCGGCCGAGCCATCAGGATGGAGCATCCAATTTGGTGTAACTTGGGAAGCCAACGGAAAAGCCAAAGGGGAAACCAATTGTGAGGTGTCCCAGTAGTTCTCAGGGCAATAACCTCAGGAAATTGCTTCTTTGGATAGTTCTCAGGGCAATTACCCCTTGTCTAGGTCCCCCACTAGTGCCCTTTTACGCTTTTTTGGGGGAGGCTTCCCCTACTAACATAGACTACAGGAAAAAGGGTACCCTTATTCTAACCACTCTACTGGAGGACCTAGTTGTATAGAAAGTGGCTGCATAGTGGCTGTAAGTAGTTTGGCGGTCGTGGAAACCATCTTAGACATTTGGAGGCCACGTTTTTGCCGGCGAGGATTGGATTCTGCGATCCAGTCAAGAATCAATCACTTTGGGAAAGGAAGATGTCCTGAGAATTGTGTCACATGGTCCAGGTACGCTCATCTCGCTGGGATCTGGAAGGTAGTCACCCTGAGAGTGGAATACACAGGTGGCAAGCTGCTCTTGCACACGGCCGAGCCAGCTCACCGCGCTCGGATGTAAGAGCAGGCATACAGCTGGGCAATTTACATGGAGCTCACTGCAGAGCAAATCCCCAAGTCCCTTCATGGGCATTCATCATTTCAGGCTTAAGAATTATGGTACCAGATACAACATCCAGCCCTAAGCCAATGAAAAGGCAGCCGCATGGGTGCGTTTGTTGTACCAAGGCCACGCCAAAGACCTCGGCCCTTGCCGCGTGGCAGAGGTGCAATATGCCGACTTCAAGGCCTCCACACAAAGGGGTTGCCAGTTTGTCCAAACAAAGAAAGTCAATGAACGCTGGTTTCTAGGTCCCCCAGTAGTGCCCCTTTTACCAACTTTTGGGGGAGATTCGGTTCCCCTACTAAAATAGACTCCAGAAAAACAAGAAAGGTACCCGTAGTCTAAGCTTTCTACTGGAGGACCTAGGTGTTGGAGCGGTTGAGAACCATGCAGTTCGGGACAGAAAGCTGCACCACTCCAACGGAACCTCGCCAAAATCCCTCCGCGTGGCGCGCGATGGCCGCGCCCAAGTTCTGCATCCTCGGCGGAGGCGAGCAAAAATCGGGCACAGGCCATAGACTTTCTCAAGCCGGAAGCTCCCCCAATTCACCTCTCCAGATAAAATTTAAGTCTTCCAAAAAGATTCCTGGGAGCTTCCAGGGAATCGAGGGGAGGGTAGGGAGCTATTTGCCGGCTGGACTAAGCCTGAAATGAGGTCCGACGCGTGATTTCAGAAGCCGCCCCGCGAAGCTGCGGCAAAAGAAGCATCGCCCTGAATGGGTCCCAGAAGTTTCAAGAGCCCTTGGATGATGGTATCGTGGAGTTTCCAGCCTATGCCTTTAAGGGGGGTCTATGTGGGGAAGCAGCGTGAGTCACCCTTTCGCAATGCAAGTCAGGCCTCCAAGCTCCAATCTTCAGCTTCCATGTCCTCAAAAACATGAGGCCATCTTTCCTTGCCCAAGGCGGCTTCAATTTCACCCGACGAAAAGCGCCTCCCGCTAGATGATCCTTCGGCATGGAGTGTCTCACTTGGACCCTTTGTGAAAGCCTGTCAGATCGTCAGATGGCAACTGTTTCACCCAGGGATATGTTCCAACATTAGGGGGCTCCCTTTTGCACGGTGCCCTTCGGCGGAACTAGCCCTGAAGGTTGATTGATCGCGGGGTTGGTCCGAAGTGCGCCTCGAACATCTGCCATGCAATCCGGGGTTTCACCGATTGTCGGAAACCAAGCATCTTTCTATTTTAGTGGTATCAAGTGACTTCTTTGTTGCGGAAGCACCACGGGATATAAATCTGGAGCCGTGAAAGGGCAACCTTTGAACGGAAGCCAAACCGACACCTTCTTGAACGGTGAATTTTGCTATGCGTCGGGACCAAGATCGGTGGAGACGGTCAATTCCATTGTGATTTGAGCCACATCTTAGTCCCAACGTGTGAAAAGCAGCCAGAAGACGAGCCTTTCAATGGGTCAGCAAACAACGTCGTTCCGTAGACCCTCACCCCCCCCCCCCTCCTGTAGGCGCATATAGGGATCAAAGGAGACTGATATATTCCCAAGCAGGCAGAATGACAAGGCGCGGAGACTGATGTCTCTTTTCTGGCTGCGCAGCTATTCTCTGCGAGAACGTGAGTTAAACCACTGCGGACTGCACAAGCAAAGATATCAAGCTGTGACATTCACATGCAGTACAAAGTATGATGCAAGGGATTGCTACATTGTTGTAAGGGTCAATCATGTACAATTCAACTCACACACACACACACCCTCCCACACCGATCTTGGTCCCGACGCATACCTTAATCTACACGCCCTTGTATGGAAGCCAAACGAAAAAAACATAAGCTCAGGTGGATCCCCAACAGCTAGGCGGTGAAGGTCTAGGATTTGTTTGCTCGTTGCGTCTCAGACTTCAGTTCTTCACCTTACACTTGGCCTGCACCAGACCACCCCGGAGCCTCCGGAGCCTTCCTTGAACCTTACACCTGGCCTGCACCAGACCACCCCGGAACCTTGGAACCTCAGCACCGGAACACCACCCAGAACCTCCGCAACCTTCCTTGAACCTACCAGACCACCCCGCAACCTCTGGAACCTGCCTTAAACCTTACACCTGGCCTGCACCAAACATCCCCGAACCTCCGGAACCTTGCTTGAACCTGACTCCAGAGCTCCCCCATTCCACCCCCAAACCTTATCTGGGCTGAGACCCCTTAGCTTTCAGCTGTTGGGGAATAAGAAGAAAAAGCGCAACGTGTTTTCTGTTATTCTTTGATAAAAAAAAATCGGGGAACCGAGGCGTCGCCTCGATTTCCCTTTGCCTCCAGGCGTCGCGGCCTTGAGCTCCGCGCGGCTTCTGCAGCGGAGCCTGCCGCACGCGGAGGCGCATCTTGGGGTTCCGCGGGCTTGGTCTCGGCCCGTCTCAGATGGCCATGATTCAAAACCAGTGGTAGGCGCTTTACTTGGGGGCTCTTATTGAAGGTTTTGGATATAAATATATATATATATGGCTGTGGGGTCAAAACCCATGAGATCCCATTTTGGGATAGGTGAATTCACCACCCGTTTTAGGCTTCCTACTTTAGTGGCTGGATTGGGATGTAACCACTGGGGGTACGGGGTTTTGACCCATGGCCAAATGGATCTGCCATTCTCCCTTTTTGGCGTCGTCCCCTCGAATGGTACATACCTCAAACACAAAAACGTCCCTTTTCGTTTGATGTTTTGTTCCCTTCGCATGGCACATACCCCAAACTCAAGATGTGTCCCTTTTTGTTTGGTGTGTTGTTCCCTTCGAATGGTACATACCCCAAACTCAAAATGTGTCCCTTTTTGTTTGGTGTTTTGTTCCCTTCGAATGGTGCATAAAACAAACTCAAAAAGGATTTGTTGTTGCCACGAGGGACACAGAGGACTTTGTCCTTTTCAGTTGCAACCTTTCAAAGCACGCGCTTCCATGGGTCGGTTTGAGGGGCGCTTTAACATGCTGCCTAGACCTCACAGACTTAAGGGATCAAAGACGGAGAACTATTGGGCAGCTGATACAATTCGAAAGTACCCTGTGTGTGTGTGTACGGGGTTGATCAATATTCAATTCGGCCCACCCCAAAAAAGAGGGGAACATAGTAACATGTGTCATCTTTTTCAGTGGTGTCCCTGATGGTCGTCCCATATAAAGGACCTTTTGATCAACCATACGCCAGACATATGTCAACTTACCAGATGAGGAACCGGGCAACAGTTTGTCTCGCTTGCAGTACGCATTGATTGCAATCTGGTTTGCAGTTTGGTTTGTTGTAACCTTGTGCCCTGTTGGCAACGAACAGATATGCTGCGCTACACGAATAGATCGGCGCATCTTTTGCTCATCCTGCCCTTTGCTGCCAGATGACACTTGCCCCATCGAAATCCAATGGTTGCAGAGTGTCCAAATCAAAAGTTAACAGATTGCAGACAAACAACTGGTTGCCTCTCCAGGTGGGAAAAGGCTTAGGGTGGGGGGTGCTGTGTTGACAGCACGCAAAAGGGCGGAAACTCTGGTGGCCTTTTATTGTCCAACCCTCACCCTGGTTTTTGGGGGTAAGCCAAAAACAGGTTTTCAACGTTGTTGAGCCAGACAGCGGTTGTTTAGCAGGTTCGAGGGGTTTGGCCCATGCCCAAAAAGACCAGAGCTCAGGTGACAGTCGTGCACAGTGCGCCCTGCCTCCGCACTGCCAGAGGCACGGAATGATTTGTGTGAAGGATGCAACCCATTCTCTAGAAGCCATCGCTTTTTCGAGAAACCGCACACATTCAAATGGATTTGCGCAAAGTGTCTCAAAGGACGGAGCACACGGGTCCTTAAAAAGAATGGGGAAACTTTAATGCGCTCACAAACTCAGTCACTCCAGAGCAACTTGAGGTGATATTCATCGCCCAGCTCATTTCGGCAAAGTATTTTTCAAGGGCAATTTCAGGTGTGTCTTTGTGGTATGAAGGTTATATACCGCTTATATGAGGGGTTTATACTGCCTTACAGGCTTTTGTTTGTGGTACAGAGGCATCCCATACCTAAACGTGCCCTTGAATTATGGTGGTGCATGTTACAGGTTGCCTTCTTGGGAATTCGGACAAGTCGAAGAGGGCCTCAAAAGGGCATGAGCTCCAGACCCATGGCGCTAGGATCGAGTGATGCACAGCCAACCTGAGCGCACGAATTGGCCCCTCCAACTCATAGCGGTGGATATTGATCCCCTTCAAAAGAAATGACGGCGTAAGGAAGTGGGTCACCAAACGCCCATGTTGATAGGTGGGTCACTCGCCCTGGCTCATTTCAAATGAACAGATTGCGGGGTTCTCAAAAGCTTCAAGTTTTGGGTTCCGTTTAAGCCATTTTTTTACGAGTGTCATCTTCAGGGAAAGCCATGTTTTAGGTTGTGGCGAGGTGTCCGATCAAGCTGGCATGGGGTGGTGTGTTTTTGTTTCCCCGGAAATAGGTTTGGGGCACCTGATGCCCTCAGGAGCCAAGAGGCAGATCTTGGAGCAAGGCTTCCAGAACAGCATCCTGGTGGACAAGCACGGACGGGAGGCCGGGGCCCAAGGTCCATGGGGTGTGTTTTTTTTGGAAGACCCGCATTTTCCGTGTGGTTCAAAGGGAAGCTAAAAGAAGACCAACCACTTTGGAATCCGAAGATTGATTTTCAGAGACCCATGAGGCACAGAACTCACAAGGCAGCCGCAAAAAGTTTGCATGTGGTGACTTGGAGGTGGAATCAACAGATGGGAAGGAAGTGTCTGTGTCAGGGCAGACTTCTCACTCGTAAGCTGTCAGTTGCTCAAGCGGACTCGAGCCAGTGGATCCACCAATTTGGTGGCTACAGGAAGGCTTTCGAGGCTGAGATCGGACCACATAGAAGCGAGCTGGACCCTCCATGTTCTCCGGAAAAAAATGGGCCTGTTCCTGCATCCACCAGAAAGGGCGGGGGTCTTGCGGCCAGAATCCTTCCAGGGTCCTTCGTAAGGGCCAGGGTTTGGCGGGAAAGAAATCCATGACCCTGACCTGGGATTCCAACCGCCAGTAAAGCCATGGAGGACAGCATGGCCACCATGATGAGGGAGGGGGCGGGGGGGGGGGGGGGTCGGCTGGTCGGCCTGTTTGCCGAATTTCGTGCCAAAAAAAGACGGCTCAAATTTGGGTGTCGTTTCCATCTGTCAGGGAATTGTTCGCTCGCTGCATGTTTGTGCAAAAACCTGCGTTTTACCATGCTTTTGCGAGGTGCTTTCTGCGTCGAGCTGGCTCGTTGTGCGTGCTGTTTTTTGCGTTTTCTGGGCCAAAAAAAGACAGCTATTTCTCCGCTTCTCCTTGCTTGCTTACTGCTTGCGTGTTTCGCGCTTGGACCTGCCTCGGGGATGCTGGGGGTGCTGGCGGCTCAGCCAGTACGCGGGATGCTGGGGCTGTCGGGGATGCTGATGCTTGGGCTTCATCTTTTGCTCGAGGAGACTGCGTCGAGGTGCTCCTTTGCACTGATTCGAGCTGTTTCCTGGCGTGTCCACAGATCCTTGTTTTGTGTGAGCAATGGCTTCAAAAAGACGGCTAATTCTTTGGCGTCTTTTTTGGATGGTTTTGGCGCTCGGCGTTCACTGGCTTTCGGTCTGCGTCTTCAGTAGGTAACTTTGGTTCAGTATTTTAGTTGTGCTTTCCATTCGTTACCTACAAACAAGAGGCTATTGAAAGCACTGGGGGAGGCAATCACCTTTTTTGGAACACCCTGAAATGCCCGTACACGCTGGTTGCATCCGTGCAGGCTCTGTTCGTCGCAGAGAGACCCCCAGCCGTTGCTTATATATGCGGGCTATTTTCAGTCGGGCACTTTTCATTTGGGCCTTCCTGTTGGGTTCCATTTCAATTTGTGGGGGAGTTAGCTTGTGGGCATTTGGAGAAAGGCTGCGTTGCCCAATAACTAGCTGTTCCATTCTAACCGACTGGAGTCGGGACGAGAAAAAGGGCCGGGCGGTCCGATGATGGTTCCTCGCACATGTCGACCAAAAATGAATTCAGACTTGCGCCAATGGGGACAGGACCGGGACAGACGGAGCGCGCTTTCCGTGGTTTGCCGACCTGGTTTGCAGGGGCCCTTGAGGAGTCTCATCCTCCAACTTGGGTCCCACCATTCTAACCGGGTGTCCATCATCCAAGTTGGCCACTTCAAGGCCATTTTGCCAGGGGTTGAAAGGTCAATCAATGTGTGCAAAGGTCAATATAACGATGTTTGTTTTGTCCTTCAGAAGCTTCATCATCCAAATTGGGCACTTCAAGGCCATTCTTTCAGGGGTTGATCCCCAGCGAATTGTTCCACTTGGGCGTTTCCTCCATGCGATTCGAGGCGCTCGGCTTGCTAAAGCTGCTGCGACTCCAGGACGAGGCGCGCGACCGAAAGTTCTCGGCCCTGGGACAAGAAGTGGTTGTCTAGGTCCCCCAGCTAGGTGCCCTTTCTCACCCCTCTTTTGGTTGGGAGGGTTCCCAACTACTATGATAGACTACAGAAAAAAGAATTGGTACCCTCATTCTAGCCTCTATACTGGAGGAGCTAGTTGTGGCGATGTGTTTCTTGGAATCGCTACTTCTATCCTGAGTTTGTGCTGTTTTGTTTGGAGCTGAAGCCAACTCATGATCCCCATTGAACCAAAGATGTTTCCAGGGACGGATCGCAAATTGACCATTTGCCCACTTCCCAACCAGCAAACAGTTGCAAAACGGAGGTGTGCAATCACCATCCCGATTTTTTTGCAAAATATGGCAAATAATCGCTCAGTTTCCATGAACTGGGGCCACTTTTTGGGACCTCCAACAAACATGCTCAGCCCCGAAATTCCATAAGCCAAGTGACACCCTCCCACCCCACCCACCCCACCCCCCCACGCGCCACCCACGCGCCACGCACGCGCCACCCACGGCGCGCCAGGTGGTCAGCGCCAACATCGAGGCCTCGGCGCGGCGGCACCTGCTGCACCGCGGCAAAGTGCAGCTGGTGCCAGGCGACTCCAACGAAACTTTGGTGGCTCAAAACTAAACAGCCAGGGCAAACCGCAGGTTTTTTAGTCTTTGGTTCATGTACCAGGGCAAGCCATTTTGGGGTTACCCTATTTTTGACCCACAGCCACTTTGGTGTTTGGAGATTTTGGGGTCAGAGGTGACCGCTTCGGCACCTTCCGCTGTGAAGGCATCAGCTCCAAGATCTGTGTAGAATTTTGGGAGGCCAAAGGTACTAAAGGGGAAACCAGTTGTGAGGTGTTGCAGCTTCTTGGATGGTGTCCGGCACTCAGGGCAACTACCCCTTGTATAGTGACTCCGGTGTTCGGTGGCACCCACCCTTTTTCCTTTTCTTGTTTTATTTGGTGGCTGCACTAAGAATGGTCTTCCCCGAAAAGGGTTCCCTTTTATTCCAGGGTCACTGAACAACTGAGGAAACAAACGGGCGGACGGTGAAACGTGGATGAGACCTTGAACGTGGATCATCAGACTTTTTGGGTGGGCAATCTGAAGATCTGTACGGGCCATTTCCCGGTTCTTTCTGCGTGGATCATCGGACTTTGTGGTGGCGGGCCCTCGGAAAACTCTGATTGGACTTTCACCATTTGGCTGAAATGAATTTGACTTCCGGTCAAATAGTTTCAATGTATCAGGTGACCTGCAGCGTATGAATTGTTTGCCATCGCCACGGCCATGGGGTTGCGAACGCCGCACGCCCAAGCGTGCAAAAAGGAGGACGTGACTTCGTTGGCTGCGTCCGACTGGACTGAACATGCCGAGAGATAAGAACATTGGTAAACGGAACTAAAAGTAGTTAGTTCAAATCTTTGATCTAGGGATCCTCCGGGGGAATGCAAGCTCGCCAAGTGATGACCACGAGTTTGGCACTTCTTTTTTTTGAGACGTCAATGCCCTGTGGGGTCGTTTACATCTTGAAATACAGCCGGACAAAGTGCAGGTGTCACGTGTTTCGACATGCAGGCCTTTTCCTCCTAGGAATTAGTTTGATTCCTCAAGGCAAGGTTCGACACTTTTACACACACACACACCCCTTTTCCAACGGTCAGGAAGTGGACAAGGGTCCTTTTCAAGAGGATGATCTTCCAAAATCCTGCGGTCCCAACCATGATTGGTGGAGGGTAGGGGCTCCCTTGGCCGAGCTAACTTGGTTCTTTTTGGCAAACAGGGTCAGCTTCGTTCAACCGATCCCCCGAGGTTCGGGAACATGGAATGACAAAGAGAACAAGAAAGCGCACTACAGGAAGCACTTAAAGGGCAATCGCGCACAGCTTCTGCCAAAGCCCCCTTTTGGCCTCTCCGCGGGGGGGGGGGTTCAAAGGAAATCCGGGCTCACCGCTTCACAGGGCCGCTGCACATCCTGACGTACGGCTGGGCCTTCCTGGCTGAGCCCGTATGGCCCCGAGCCCGCGAGGACCCGCGAGAGAGAGAGACATGCGGTGGATGGGTACGGAATCCAATTCGTACGAAATGAAACCCTGGAAACCCACTGTTGTTGGTATTTGCGTTGTTGGTATTGGTAGCCATTGGTTGGTATTTTCGTTCGGGAATCGTCTTCGGTGCTGTGAGATTTCGTCCACCCACAGTAGGATCAACGGTGGCAGAAACATCTCACAAGGCAACTACATCGACATCAGCTTGGAGAACAACTACATCGACATCATACTTCAAGAATCAGGCATCACCACATGCAACCCAGCAACAACATCCTGGAGTATCACACTCCAAAGCTACAGAAGATGAAGCACTACTTGACCACGAGTAGCATAAACCACAACGGCTTGTTGACAAGAATGGCTCGCCTACACAAGACCAGACAGCTAAGGAGCTGGCAACATGATTGCAGGAACCAGTCAGTCAGGCCATTGCCTGCCCGTGGGTTTGATGGGTTCGGTTCCTGGGAGGCACACGCCCAACCGGACTGCGCTTTTTGTGCAACTGCATGCTTCGGTTTCGTCACGTCGACCCATAAGGTCCTTGTACAAATATTCAGCAATTGAACAAATCAGTAGTTTGCCTCGCACATCGAAAATGCAAGGAGGGGCGTTAAACTCACTGTTGTACAATCAGTCCGCACCACCTCCGCTGCCATTGTACATCAATGCCTTGAGTCTGTACATGAATGATCATGAATGTGTAGATTACATGTTGCACAGCTCTATCGCCTCAGCTATTCAGGATACAAAGTCACTCCCATGTTAACTTGTCCTTGTGATATATATATATATATATGTATATATGTATATATACACAATATGTATACAACTATATAGGTATATACGTATATTTGTTTCTTTCCTTATTTATTTGTATGTATATATATATATATATGTTCCAGGCCGTGGACCCCCCTCCCCCCCCCCCCCTGTGGGGGTGGGGGGGTGGGTGGTGGGGTGGGTGGTGGGGTGGTGGGGTGGTGGGGTGGTGGGGTGGTGGGGTGGTGGGGTGGTGGGGTGGTGGGGGTGGTGGGGTGGTGGGGTGGTGGGGTGGTGGGTGGTTGGGTGGTTGGGGTGTGGTTCGGAGTTGGTTGAGGCTTGGTGGGTTGGTTTAGGGTTGGTTCAGGGTTGGTTCAGGGTTGGTTCAGGGTTGGTTTGCGGTGGGTTTCGGGTGGGTTTGGGGTTTGGGTTGATTTAGGCTTAGGGTTGGGGTTAAGGAGGGGTTGCAGGGTGGTTTGGTTTAGGGTAGGATGTTGCGAGAGGTGCGGGGGTGTTGGTTCACGGGGTGAAAGGGGGTCTGGGACCGAAGCTGCAGGGCTCGCACGGTACTGGACAGCATCCCCAGCATTGCCAGCATCATCCCCAAGATGCGGATGATGCGGGGGAGTGGGGGGACCATACCATTGGGGGGGGGGTACGTGGCCCAGGGGGGACATACATATGTGTGTGTATATATATATATATATATATATATACACGAAATCCAGCAGGTCCTCCGTGCCTTCTTTTCCCGCGCGCAGGAGGACGAGAGCGTGGCCTCCTTCGTGTCGCGGCGCGGCTCCACCGCGGTGGCCCAGCGCCTGGCGGACCCCATCTGCCGCGGTCAGCTGGCGGGAGACGCCACGGAGCTCTCGGTGAGGACGGCTGGGCCCCGCTGGACCGCACGGCGAGGCCAGTTGGTCCATTTCTCTGCTGCTGTTGGGTTGGATCTTTGGATCTTTTTGGCTTTTTGGATACCCCTCATATTTCCTTTAAAAACGGCGATGAGTTGGCGATGCCAATTTGCATTGCTCTGCTTTAGTTGGTCCATGTTTCCCTTGGATGGTTGGATCTTTAGTTGGTTCATTTTTCTGTTGGAGCTTTGGATCTGAAGCTTCCCTGCTGGTTGGTTGGATCTTTCGACTTTCACTTTTTGGATACCCCGCCTTTTTTGTCCGTTTAAGCTCCAACAAGTTAAGCCTAATACTAGGCATCATATTTCCCTGTGGCACCCTTTGAACGCCTAGAGGGCAATGGGGTGGCGATGAGTTGGTCCAATTTTCTGCTTTAGTTGGTCCATGTTTCCTTGGTTTGGATTTGAGTTGGTCCATTTGTCCCCCGGTATGGAGGTCATTCTTCCCTTGGTTTGGACTTTAGTTGGTTCATTTTTGCTGTTGGACCTTAGGATCTTTGGATCTTTAGTCTCTTTGCTGCCTATTGGGCTGGATCTTTGGATCTCTTCGACTTTTTGGATACCCCAAGAGTTATATGTCCGTTTAAGCTGCAAAAAGTTGAGCTTTTTTGCTGGGGGATCTACAGCAAAGGAGCTGTATGGCAGGCAACAAGTTGAGGAGCCACCCAATCAAAGCCAAGAGACCACTAGCCTTTCACCCGCTGTGGCAACTGGGATCCACTGGGGCTAGGAGGCAAGATGGTTGAAGCTAAGGCCTTATCATGAGGAGTTACCTTTGGCCTTAGTCTACCCCAAAGCCGAACCTAGTTGCTTCCCCTGTGTGTGTCAAAATAGGGGACAACCAGCCTGCCATTAGCAATTTAGCACAAAGAGCCCCCAGCCTGCCAAATCAAAAAAAAGCCCCTGACCCCATGTGTTTTCCATGTTCGTCCCTTTTAACCAGGCTGAAAAAGCTGCCCTCAAACAACAAACGCCCACCTGACACAAAGTCGGGTGCAAGATGGCCCAACTGTTTGTTAACATTCTGAAAAGGCAGCCCGAAGAAGATGGATAACTTGTTGTATGTGTCCCGAGCCCACAGTTAGCGCCCAGGGGTGTGGGCAATGATTCCAGGATGGGCAAACGTACGGCAGGGCCATTTGGTTCCAGCCTCGGTGTTGTTTTGAACACTAACTGGTGCCTTTTGAGGGAAGAAGAACCTGTTTGCTCAACAGATGTTATCAACATGCAGAAGCGCCTTTGTCGCAAAGCCTCGCGGCACAAGTGGTTTCACCGTATATTGTGGCTGGGTCACGAAGGAATTCGAAGGAAACAAAGTTTCCAGCTTCTTTTTTACCTCCTTTGTTGGTGGCGTGGATTGGTGGCTTGGGAGTTAAGGGAGTATCGTCTCTATTCGGTTTCAACAGGAACTGGGGGCTCCAATCCCCTTCCACAGCAAGTTTGGGGGCAGGCTCATCAATAGCACCCACCCGACGCAGGACGTGCTTCCCAAGACTTTGGCACAACGAGCAGCGCTTTGGTTCCGTTTTCCTTGGGGCGGGCGCCTCAAAGAGACGCGAAGAGAACTTGAGGTTCAGGGCAGTTCCACTCAAACTGGCGATCCAAGAAATATAAGGGAGGGTAGGTCTGGTAACTCGAAACAACAACAAAAAAACAAGGGAAGTAAAGGCCAGCCCATATGTGTGTGTGTGTGTGTGCGGGTTGGGACCAGGGCAAGAAACCTCTGGATGTGCTATGTTCCAGCAGACCTCAAGTGTGCTTCAGACAAGCATTACCAGGTTTTCCATGAAGCAAGAAGTTTGGGCCATGGCAGTTTGATGGTTCCGAGGTTCAGTTAGTCAGTCATGTCTCTGGCTGACAAGTAGGAACCGGCAGAAAGACTGGCAACATGGGGGGTCTCAAAATGAACCGCGACCACGAAATGGTCTTGGTTTCTTTCTGGCTTCACCTTACAACCACCAACCGGGGCGTTCCCCAAACAGAGGAGCAACCCACATGAAATCAAAACCTGAGTAAGGGAAGCTTAAGGAACGGCCCCAACCAGAATCAGCTGCCGACTTTCAGTTCTTTACATTTGTTTAGCCTCCCACCGACTAACATGGAAGTGCACAGACCCCAAGAAGAAAGACGACTTTCCGCTTAGAAATTGGGTTTCTGCACTTCCATGTTAGTTGGTGGGAGGGTATTTGGGTGCTTTTTTTCAGGGAAGGCCTCAAAATGATGGTCTTCCTTTTGGTGTCGCGTTTAAAGCAGGGTAAACACAAGGCTAATCTTCAAAAAGGGCCGTTTCAATTCCCATCGCTTTGGCTTCTGAGCGCCCCACCTGCCGCCTGCTCCGCGCGTCAGAGGCGGCCTTGGACTCGGTGCTCTCCTACCGCCAGCGGAGCTGGATGGCCTTGGACCTGCTGGACCGAGCCGCGGCTTTTCGGTTCGGTTTGGTTCGTGAGCCGAAGGTCCGGGGGAAAGAAAAACGCCAGGACCATCAAAGGGTCCGGGAGAAAAAAAAAAAGAAAGAAACACGTCAAGGGAAGGAGAAACAGCAAACAAGGGATGACCATCAAGGGTCCGGAAGGAAAAGAAAAACGGGATGACCATCCAGGGAAGGAACAAAACGGGGATGACCTCATCAAGGGAACCATGTCCTTCAGGGTGAGAAATGTCCGAATGGAAGAGCCCAAACTTAACCTGCTTGTGTTTCAAACTAAGCCGGAAGCAGCAAAAACATACCCATTTGTGAGTACATAGCCAAAACGCGGGGTAAAGAGCGGAAACACGTCCCAATGAAAATGGGACAGCGTACCTAGTGTGGTGAGGCTATGTGTAAGCAAAAAGATGCGTATATGCAAACATATGATTGTTTTGCTTTCGGGGAGGCGAGGGCTCTTTTGGGGCGGGTATTTGAAGGGGAAATGACATGGAACGAGACTGCTGTATATGGGTTTGTCCGGTTTTGAGGGTTTAAAAGGGAAACCAAACAGACCACCACCATTTTCAAGGGTTCCACAACTCCTGGCTCCAAAATGACAATGGATAACTTTTACCATTTAGTGATGACAGTCAAACTGCTTTGTGTGGTGTTCCTGATGGTCATGGTTTGGAGCACAAAAGGAAAGAACTCTTTGATTTGAAGACAAACCCAATATGGATCACTTACAACTTCATGAGTCCCCGGGATAGTGGCTGAGTTTGCAATGTCCCGAACTTTTTGAACATTTGAGTATGCAACAAATCCATGTCTCATCTTCCGTGTTTGAGACTCGCAACATCAGTTGTGCGCTGTTTTCCATGGCCACCTCCTATTTGAGCATCCCCTTCTTGGGGTTGACAAGCCCTATGCTTCCTGACGGAGTCATCCTGTCTTGCGGTCTTTAGAGGAAGTGAACAGAAGAAACTGTTCTATTGGCGTTTGGTTTGTTTGCAGAAACACATGTTTATCTCCGAGGTGGCTCTATTGTGAGACGGACTGTTAAGCTGCGAACTGGCATTGCCAAGTAGTAAGTTTAATGCAAGCCCTGCTGCAGCACACATGAGCAAGATCGGGCAGAGTACATGTTTGGGGAAGGAACAATGGAGAACGCATTCGAGAGCCAACGTGTGATTGGCACAACAATCCTTGACACCTCGTGGGCCAGACTGTTTCACTTGGAGCGATTTCGACCGAAAAAGCGCAGGCACAAACTGCCCTTGGCAAAGCGAATGCGTAGAACTGAGCTTTAGCTCTTGTTGCCATGGAATTCCCACGGCCGTTGCAGACGGTGTCGGATTTGCGGCCTGCGGCAGTGCCTTCTCAGCTCAGGCGCTGGCGTGCATATGTACATACATGTCGTTGGGAACCCCGAAAAAGGTGTTAAGGGCGGTAGGACAGGGAGCCAATCATCTAGAGGCCAGTTGTGACAGAATGAGGGAGAGAGGGAGACCTAGAGGGAGCGGGAGAGGAGAAATGGAACTTGCGGTCTGAGGCCACCAGCTCCATCGTGCACCAAAGAGGGAAGGCCTGTAGCAAAGCTGGCTTGCGCTGCCGCCAGCGGTGCCTCGTCGGGTGATTTTGTGTTGCCGGCTGTATGATTGACCTGGTGTGTCTTCTAGCGTTATTCATCGTTCTTGGTCGGGCGCCACACTGCGCGAGGAATTCAGCCTCCTTGGAAAGACTAAAAGACATTGCTCCCGCCAGTGATTGGGAATGGTGTGTTGAGATGAACGTCAGGGAGCTTGCATTCAGGTATCTTGCAATTGGCCCGGTGCCAACGTCGACGGGTTTTGCGGGCGGCGCGAGAAGATGACCATGCCGTGGCGGTGAGAAATTGGTTGCAAAAGCTGGTGATCGGCATGAACTTCTGCCCCTGGGCCAAGTCGGTGAACGAGGACAATGGAATCAAGGCACGATCACGCAGGCTTAACAAAAGGGAGGATACAACCACCCACTGTGTGACTTTCAGTGGGCAAGTCAAAAAATAGAAACCCCAAATGCACAAATCATCGATTTTTGTCGGACTCCAGATGCTCTTTAACTGTTGGGGCGACAACATCTTGGGGATTCTGGCCCAGGCAATCGTGTTTGTTTCCCCGGAGTGAGAAAGCTTCACTTTCTGGCTCCTTGGCCCGCCTTTGAGGTCGTGACAAGTCTTGCCACAACGGAAGACGAAGTCCTGAGCGACTTGAAGCGAGAGGCCGCCTGGTTGCCGGTGGGTGAGGCGAAAACGAAGCCCACGACTACTTTGGTGGTGTGCCCTTACGTCGCGCCCTGGCAAGTGGCGTCCTTAGTTGCTCCCATTCCCCGTGCTCTCGAGCGAGTGCCATGGTCAGAAGACTTCGGAGGTCATGAGGAGGGTCATTCAACCCTTTGGGGAAATGGACCATCATCGCAGTGGTGTCTATTCACAAGTTGTTGGCGACGCACGAAACCCACAAGCCCGTGCTTTCTGCAACCCACTGTCTCTGGACAAATTGTAGCGAGCTCGGAGGAAAAGCAGGCCCCTTCTTTAAAATCCTTCTTTCCGGTGTGTGATTTCGTCATTTGTCCGGATGGACGAGTCCTTTAAATGTCGTTGTTTCAACGGGAAACCAGCCGAAAACACCCAGTTCGAGCTCAGGACTTTGCTCCTTTCGGCGACTTCTTCGGCGAGAAGTTGGAAAATGGCGTGCTGCTTGAGGATGAGTTCGGCGTGAAGTTGGTGGGTTTCCATCCTCAGTACGAGGAAGAGCCATTGCCGCTGGCCTTGTGATTCAAGATGCCCAAGCAATTCGTGGAAGTGGCGTGAGCTGAACAACTTGCTGGTTCTCAGGGAAGGAGGGAATGACCCCTGAAAGCCATCCTCCTATGGTTTCCTTTGAGGGAATCCTCTTCCGGGTTCATTCCCAACATGAAGGAAACCAACCTGATGCCAAATGACAGGGGGAATATGGAGGAATGAAGCCCTTTTGTTGGAAAGCATGATGCTTCGAGAACTTCACCTCATTTCAGCGATCTTGGCGGGCCAGTTTCAAGAGACTTCAAGAGTATCACAACTGCTGTCACTGGTTTCTCTAAGACAAGGTTGCCAGGGCTAAGATAAGAACCAAGATGTAAAACTCGCCTCGGCAACGGAAGAACATGCAACATCAGCGCGCTTTGTGAAAAGCCCCTTTAGTGCGTGTGTCGCTGAGAGGAAACAACAGGGAACCTGAGCCTCAATGGATTCGTGTGGATTTAGAACGCCATCACTTCGGCCTCCACCCCCTCCCCCCAAACGATCAAACATGTTGTTTTATTGCTGGTGCTCAGTTGGGAATGACCCTGGGTAAACCATAGGGATGGGAGTGAGGGGTCATTCCCCTCATTCCCTGCTGAGAACCAGCCAGTTTGGGGGGCAAAAGCTGAGTTAAAACCATGCCCCACCCCCCAAAGTCGCTAGGTTGGTCTAGCCTCAGGCATGGCTCAGTCCTGGACGTCGGGGATGTGCTGACGCTGCCCTTGAAAGATGAGCCGGAGCCAGTGACGGTGCTGGATCCAGCGCCGGATGCAGATGGCGAGGCATTCCTGGTCAGACTCTGGGTGCCAAATAGCAGCGCTAGATGCGGGCAAGGTGGGGTGGGGAATTTTCGTTCCAAGTGCTTCGGGCCACTTTGCCTAGGCCACTTTTTGAGGCGGAAAATGTACAACACGGAGGCGGGGGGGGGGGCGCCTGCCAATAGTAGGTGTAGTTTGCTTCGCGCAGCTGTAATTGTCCATGTCCTCTTTAGAGGAAACTAAACATGCCCCCGAATGAAGAATTCTTGTTGTTCCAGACCCACCAAATTCTGCACCCAGGACGGCAAGATGGAGGAGAAGAGATGATCAGCTACAAGAAGCTCGGAGAAGTTTTAGCAATTTCCCGGAGAAGTGATTGATTGTTGTGTTCTCGTGGTATAGGTGTATACTGCCACTTGGGATCATGCTGAAAGGTAACATTCCGGAATCCAAAGATGAGTTCAACTCGATGTTCCAGGTAGTTTTCGCCACAGTCTTGGCTCAACAGTCCCGGGCATGTCCGCCTTTCCCGCTCATTTCTTCCAGAAAGGGAGTCTCAGGGAGAGCGCTGTCGCTGAACAACTTGGTAGGAAAATCCCGTAAGATGCAGATCATGTCCAATGAACTGACGGGGCCCATCAGTTTCCATATCAAGTTGGGCACCAATCCCATGACCAGATGAGCGCTGTCAGAGGAGTTTGGGCGCTCACTCTCCCCGAAGCGGATCTGTTCAGTGTCCGCGTGCGCGAGCGAGGCGGCTGACCGAGCTGCTGGCTGAAGATGACTCGGGCCTACCCCCAGAGACTGCAGAAGAAGAAGAAGACGAGCTCGAGTCTGTGGCGTCTCGCCTAATTTCGCGGGAGGTGGATCCACAAGTCAAAACCTCAAGGCAAATCGGGGGGTCAGAGTTGGGCCTGCTCAATTTTAATATCTCGGTAAGTACTGCCTAGTGTTGGTTTAGAATTGGTTCAGCATTGTTCAGTATTCCGTACTGGCCCAAAGCTGCTGCATTTCTCTATTTCCTCCCTTCAACATTGATGAGTTTTAACTTGTCAAGGCGTCCCACCAGCCCGTTTGAACATTTCTTTGGGCGGCTGTTTTAGAAAATGGTGTCATGCAGAACTCTGTTTGGGGCCTCACTTGGTTTTGCTGGAACAGGATTGGCTTCGTATTTCAGCGTTAGCATCGGTTGAGTATAGAGTAATATTTGCTCAGTATCGGTTTATTGCCAGGGCTTGGGATCATTTGTCTCATCCCACGGGAAGCCAAACGTTGTCCCACCAGGAAAGACGCTTTTCTGTATTTCCCCCTGAATCTTTTCAGGGGGAACAATAGGACAAGAAGTCTGTCTTGCCTCCCCATTGACTAATCACTACCTGACATTGTCTCCAAATTGGCTATGAACTTTGGCAGGGAAATACCCTCAAGAGCGGTTATGGCGTGGGTGGACGTCAATCCACATGCAACCACATGCAAATCATGTCCAACCAACGAAAAATAATGCATCAAATGACTACAGCCTTTTAAACATTGTCGGAACCTCCTTTGACTTTCAAATTTGAAGGTTCATTTACTGTGGGGCCAAAACCTAAAAGTTGCATTTTTAGTTGGGGGAGATGGAATGGTTCCCTCGAAGCACCAAGCCATACAAGGGAAAGCTAAGGTACTATATGTGTTCTCGTTACACACTCAGGGGCACATAGTGATTCCCTTTGCCCGCATTTTGGAACTACACCCACTGGGAATCTATCCTTTTCGTGGTATTTCCAGATAAGACCTTATGATTTCAGGTACAATCGCAGGGTGTAGCTTGAGTCAAAGCAAGAGGTGCCACCAGATGAACATGCAACCAAAAACACCACCGAAGAATCTCCTTCAGGGCCCGTTTTGGGGTTGTCCTCAGCGTGTACCCTCCCACCACAGGCCTTCCCGTTTCCGTTTGGTTTCCGTGGGAATACAAAACTTGATTCTCAAAATGGACCCCAAACCACAGCCATTTTGCGGGACCACCATTTTGGGAAACCCTCACAACCTCGGTTCCCCATTTTTAAGGTATCTGTCAGAATAGGGGGTTCCTTTTTGTTGCCCTTTACACCAACTTGAAAAAGGGTACCTCAACCATCGCACTCGCCCCATTTTTACACGAGGAGGGCATCGCGCAGCGCGCCCCGCGGCCCACCATCCACTTGCTGCGGCTCTGCGATTTGTCGAACGCGCTGGCGGAGGCCCATGGTCAGATCCCTCGGATGTTCAGCCCACTTATGGCTACAAGCGGCATAGGGGTTCTGCGACCATACCTTGTTTCTATTCCACTTTGCGTGAAAATCCACCCCAAAGATCCCCCCAAAGTTGCGGCTTGAGTTTTTTCAATGCGAGGCTGTCCCAAAAAAACGGGAGGGAACATGACTAAGAGCAACAGCCTCAGCTTTCCCATGGAGCCCACCTCGCGCGTTTTTCGAAGCGAGGGAGTGGAAGTGGGCGACCGGGTCCTGGAGCAGAACGCGCTGTCCGCCCAGGCGAGCGCTCGGAGATCCAACTGGATGCGCCCGGTTTCCTCCACCGAAACGGAAATGGCCGTGTGCGATTGGTTGAGGCCAGGTGAACATTTAGAGGGAAACCAAGAGGAAAACACCAAAACGGTTCGGATCCCTATTTTGCAACACATACCCAAGTGCCACCTATTTCTCACTCCCTGCGGACATTTTTTGGCAGTGAGATTGTTCGCATCTACTTTCACCCTGTCCTTGGTAGAAAAAGATCATCCAGATTTGGTTGGAAAGGGTTTTCAAAACTAGGTGGCTCCCGGCCATCCCCTTAGCTTTTTCGCCTTTTAGTGTTTAGTGGCAGTTTCCATGAGTAACCCACTAAAAGTCGGCCACTTCTAGCGGGGGATCTGAAAATGAGCAGCCCAGAGCCCCGGCCCTGGCAGGAGCTGGGCTACGCCGGCTGGCAGAGGCTTATGTCCCAGTGCGAGCCGGCGGCAAAAGCTTGGGGTATCCCACAGGGGAAAAAGAGACGCCAGGTGGGTGTGGGTCGAAATGAGTCACCAGTTGGATAGCAGGTTTGAGTCTTTTCCATTTACCAGGGTTCCATTCTGGGTACCTTTTTTTGACCTGGCCCATACCCATGTGACCCATAGCCAGTGCACAAAGGTTTGATTTACACCATGGGCAGTGGTCTGGGGTGGAAAGCCTTTGAGAGACTTCTGTTCAAAGGGAGCCCCAAACAAGAGGGAGGGTTATGCCACAACCTCAACCTTGAACAGGAGTTTCGCATGAGAGTTTCACTTCAGGTTGCATTGGAACCATGTCAATGGTGAAAAGTGCATTCCATATGTTTGTCTTACTTCACCCACTCTGAGGAGCTCCCTATTGCAGGGAAGTATCAACATGGGATGTCACGCAGAAGGTATTTCGGCAACACATGTTTTTGGCGGACGAGTCATAATTATCCAAACGGCCACTCTGGACAGACGCAAAGCTTGTCCAGTGGCACCTGTTCTTTCGGTCAGGAAGGCATTGAAACAAGAGGGGGTTCCACACCCGCACGGTTGCGAGTGAAAATGATTCCCTGCAAATCAGGTTAGTTTGTTGATTGTTTATTTATTTATCTACTTATGTGTTTGTTCGTTTGGTTGACCAAGATTGTAATTTCAACCCCGCATCAGCCCAGTTTCAAGGATGCACTGGATCCATCCATTTGCGCTCTTTCCAACAGGGACGTGAACCATCAAAGGGCAAGCTCTACGGCCTATCGCCATACAAGGGCTGAGAGAGGATAACCCAAAAAGTGTTTGGTTCCTTGTGATGTACTGGCACTGTCAAGCCTCAGGTTGTCAGATAGAAAGTGTTCAGCAAGCCTTCATCTTCCTCAGCTTCCCGCTAATTGGTGGTTTGAATTGGTGGCTTGGAGGCATGGTTTCCCATGTACCCCCTTCAAGAACCAGAGCGTCAAATGCTGTGGAGCAGCAAACCAAATAGGATTCGCGCATTGAATCGATCGGTCGGGGTATCGGTCCTTGACTGGCGCAAACTGCTCCAGAAGCCTCAGTCAGAAGGAGTCCATTCCGTGCTGTAAACAAATTTGTTGCTTTAGGTCGCCTTGGAGTGTCGTACAAGGAAGCCGTGATTGGAATGAAGCTCGGTCAATGCCAGGACCCCTTACTCCAACGGGTGGCCACGGGAGGTCGTCGGGGGCCCAGTCTCGACTCGAGTGACGCCGTGGATGTGCATAGGTTTGGTCCACATGTTCAGTTGGTAGTCCATTTGGGTGTGTCTCTTTTGGTGGCACCCCCTTGTTGGGAAAAAGGGAACCAAAAGGACAATTCGCCATTTTACGGGACCCAACTTGTGTTAACTACTTGTGCGTGGATGGATATCGCAACTGTGATTCCCTTGCAGGCAGCTACTCCTTCCGGGACGGCATGAGCTCCTTGCTGCGCACGCTTGAGGCGGCGCTCTCGAGGCTCCAAACCATTGGTTTTCCAAACAACATGATATCCTCACTCCCACTAACGTGGCACCTGACGGGACGTCCCTCCAAGAAGAAGCTGATCTTCCCTCCTATCTCAGGTTGCAAGGTGGTCGCATGCATTGCAAATCATGGTTGGCTTCGGCGAGAAGAGTAACGTGAGTCGAAAAGAGCAAAGAGGGTGCGGTCTGCCTCCCATTGAGGCATGATTTATGTAGACAGAACTTGCAGATGTCGCAGCCTTTGAAAGGGACGTCTGTTTTAGGAACACACGAAAAGTCACGGGTCACCTGGTGCACGTGTCCTTAAGGTGGACCCGACTGTCTCACAAAAACCCAAGTGTCAGGTTAAAACGTTGGTTGCGGTCTCTTGTTTGTCTCTAAAACAACCCCAGCACGACAAAAGGGTGCCCATGTTTGCCAGCTCTCCAGCCCAAACGCAGGTGCTCGGCAACTTGTGTGAGATTTTACGGGGTTTCAATCCACGACTTTCCTCAAAGAAATGGTTTAGTATTGTGCGGCACTTTTCAGCCGGAGGTTCCAAATATTTGGTTTTGAAACGGGTTGTGACACATCTCCTCTTGGTTTCTTGTGTGTAGGTGACTTCCCTCTTTTTCGGGGTGATGTTCAAAGATGGGAATAAGCAGGCCCAGTTGGCTTTCCTGCGTTTCAGCTCAGCGGAGGAGCAGTTGCTCATACCTGGTCCCGGTACGGTGCCGGCAGAAATCAGGCAGGAGACCATGCCCTTGAGGGCTTCACCTGTTCCAAAGTCACCAGCAAACCAGGCAGCAGGCGAAGCGAGCTAGCGAGTAAGCAACTGAAGAACTGACATGTATAGATGCATGTCCAACGTCCTCAGCGAACCTGGAACAGAATCCATGAAGAGGGCAGTAGCGAAAACTCCCGCATGATACAGGGAAACATTCTGGCACAAAATAAGACCGGACATACATTTTCATGTCAGTGTAAGCACCCGAAGAGACTTGAATCGCCTCAAAACATAATGTCCTGATGATCTGCTTCAGTGCATGTGTTTATCTGTTTAGCCATGTTTGGCTCGTGCATGGACAGCTTGACTTTTGTGTTGTGGTTGTGACTTGTTTGCCGACTGCTTTGGCCAATTGAAGAGTGGAACTCGCAACTAGAGATAACTAAAGGGTGGCAGGTAACTACCAAACTAGGTCCACGGCACATATTCCGCCGTGGGTCAAAGTCGACATCTCAATAACCCCAGGCAAAACACACCATGTTTTCCCTGTAAATAACGTGGTTTTCTCAACATGTTGCAACGACATTTTTTGCGCGGCAGTTACAGTGGGGAAGGAAGCTCGCATTGGTATTTGAAGGTTAAACTGCACGTTTGGCTCCTGTAAAACTACTTTAGCCTTTTGCAAAAAGATTACCTGCTTACCTTTTGGGAGCCTTCAAGTAGCCTTTTCGGGTAGACCGCTGCGCATCTTTGGCCTCTTTTTGACTTCACACCTGGGTCAAGCCTTATTTGACTGAACTACACGACCTAAGACCTGGAGCAAGCCTTTTTTGATTTGAGCGATTTGGGGCTCAGGGCTGAAGCTGCGCGTGAGCTGGCGGGCTTACTGTTTGGCAGGCGTGTGAACATGCTGCGCGTCAGCGGAGGCTGCGCGTGAGCGGGTGTGCTTACCATTTGGCAGGCGCGTGTACAGTGCGAACATGCTGCGCGTGAGCGGAGGCTGCGCATGAGCGGGTGTGCTTACCATTTGGCAGGCGCGTGTACAGTGCGAACATGCTGCGCGTGAGCGGAGGCTGCGCATCAGCGGGTGTGCTTACCATTTGGCAGGCGCGTGTACAGTGCGAACATGCTGCGCGTGAGCGGAGGCTGCGCATGAGCGGGTGTGCTTACCATTTGGCAGGCGCGTGTACAGTGCGAACATGCTGCGCGTGAGCGGAGGCTGCGCATCAGCGGGAGTGCTTACCATTTGGCAGGCGCGTGTACAGTGCGAACATGCTGCGCGTGAGCGGAGGCTGCGCATGAGCGGGTGTGCTTACCATTTGGCAGGCGTGTGTGCAGTGCGAACATGCTGCGCGTGAGCGGCTGTGCTTAGCATGTGGCAGGCGTGCGTGCACTGCGAATGCGCTGCGCATGGCAAAATACAGGGCCATGTGCGTGCTGTCGCGTCACCGCCGAGCAAAACATGGCGTTTGACCCCGGTGGAATAGTTATGCGCCGTGGTCCAACTACCATGAAGCATCCTCCCGAAAAATTGTTCGTTGTTCGTCGGTTGTCAGGAGGGCTCCTATCTTCAGGTTGCCAGAATCCCCCCTGAGTGGCGCTACGTACAAAGCGCAAATGTTTCATGGGACTCGCCGATTGGTTTGACGCATCCCCCAGAGAAGCATCGAACCCATGGCCAAGCTACAGGCGGAACTCGGCAGCTGAAAGGACCGGGTCTCAGCGTTGCGAGCTGTTTTTGCTCCGCAAACTTCCTCCCGGCGTGGCAAGCATGTGGTTTGGTTTTGCGTGTGCGTGTGTTGCGTGTTCTTTTTTTTCATGGCGTGTGAGGGTTGCATGTTCCGTGTAGTTTTGCCTTGTGCATGGCGCGTGAGGATTCTTTACCGCAGGCAAAGGTCACTTGTTCATGGCGTCATTCAAAGGTGCCATGAGCGCATGAGGTCGCTGCCGACCTGAAAGGTGCGTTAGACGTTCATCTAGAGGCCCCACCCGAGGCTGGAGGCACCTGGTGATGCACGAGCCCGTGTATGGCTGCGCAAGAGTCTCAGTGTGTACACCCGGGCCCTTGTGCGGATGTCGTGGTAAGGGAAGTTTCAAAAGGAGCTCATCCATGTTTGGGTCGCCAATCTGAGACCCCCATCTCTACATCTCAAGTGGCTTCAACCAGAGAAGCTGACCAGAACACCTTCTCTCGCGCATGGCGGCTTGGGAGCCAGGCGACCCGCAGAAAAGAAGGTCTTTGTATGTTTGGTGCGCTTGTCGCTTGTTTCCGGGTGAATCAACAAAAAGCGAACTAGATCTGGAAAAGATGGAAAAAATGAGCCCATACATCAACGGGTCCTTCTTTTGTGGGATCTTCAAAACGAAGCCACCCGTTTCCATGACTCCCATGGGGCACCATCCTGCAGACCAGGGAAGTTACCAGCAACCTAGGTGATGGCAGCTGCGTAGAGGCCGACTGTGTTGTGCCCCCAGCACAGCAGGTTATCGTCACCGGTCTTGGTGCGCATCTTGGATTTTTGGTTTGTTGGTTCTGCTCATTTTTTGTGAAGTCCCAAACAGCACAGTCTTTGCTACCACTTTAAGGGTTAGTGATGTATGTTGTGCGACTTGTGGTTCCCCATGTGCGGGGATCTTGTCTGGACGTACCCTTTGTAGGGTTGGTTTTGTGGGTTCCTCGAGACAAATCCCCATGTGATCAAGCCTAAAGGTTGGCAATGATGATCATGGGGGCGGTCCCTGTCGGACAAGTGAACACAACAGAAGAGACAAAAAAAAGCACATAGTAAGAGTCTTTGCTTTGGTTTTGCTGGGTCAAGAAGCAAATGTTGTGGCTGTGGGGAACCAGGGCCCAACAGCCATTGCCCTGAAGAGCTGTCCAACCGCTGGTGACCTGTGCATGCCTAGTACTGTTTGGTTCCACATTCAGGGCTATACCTAATTCACTGAAACGTCCTTTGATCATCTGAAGCGTATCTTCGCTCTACGCGACTCTACGCCTCGCTCCAAGCAATTTTACAGAGCAAGTCATAGGCTCGACATTCCCCCACTGTTCCCTGGCCAAAAGGACACGCTGCTGATTGTTGGAAAAATGTGGGTCGAAGGCGGTCCAGGCACCTTGTGGATCTTGTCCCCCTGCAAATTAACACCCATCCCTAAACGAGGTCCACAAGAGGAGACGTCTTTGGGCAACATGTGAGCAGAGAGCGCTTTATGCAGCTGCGCAAGGCCCGCGATGGGCTGGTGGATAGTAAGCATTCTGAAGCCCATGGGTCCATTTTTGACCATTGGGATAGAACCACATTCCGCAGTAAGCTTGTCCCCTCAAGACTATCTACCGTTTGATTTGATGGAGACCATACTCAAGCCCATAGGGCTTGTGTCTAAGATTGGACCCCCTAAATGATGGTTCTCTTTTGGTTTTCCCTGAAAATCAACCAAAAGAGGGGGATTCCTAAAAACAGACACGCCCTCAAACGTTTTTTACCACCAAAATTCGGTTCCTTCAGGGCGCTGCCGTATCTTCATTTCCCCCAGGTGATTGCGGCCGTGCCACCTGCGGATCTCAGCCAGGTGCTGCGGCAAAGTGGCCGGGTGCTTGGCGCCGGGCATTCTTGGTTTATATGGCTGTGGCTCAAAACCAATGGGATCCCATTTTGGGGTAGGTGCACCCCCCATTTTAGTCGATTTCAGTGGGAATTGGGATGTTATTTCCGTGGGAATGGGGATGTTCACTGGGGGTACAGGATTTTGTCCCATGGCCATATGGCTGTGGCTCAAAGAAATGTACCAAAATGCCCCCCTTGGTAAATGGAACCCAAGAGTAAAGCCTGCGTAACCCTAGCTCCTTTTTGAGCCACAGCCATATGTGGCTTTTGCGGATTTCCGACATGAGGAAAAAGGATCTTGAATATGGAGTCGTTAAGGACTATGTGTTTTTTAGCAATAACTTTTCCATAGGATGGAGGGGGGGAGAACCCCCCCAACATCAACTGCCAGAGAAGTGCCAGGCGGTTTGTCCGTTTATAGGGTGTCCTCCATCCCAACTGGTGCAGGAATTCATCCGCCCACAGGCTGCTTGTTTGCCCGAGATGGAGGGATTCCGGGAATGGGATTGCAAGTCACCCCCAGCGCCTCTTCTGTTTTCTGGGCTGTTCAAAGGTAATCCTTAGTCCTTAGCTTCGGTTACGCAACGGGGTCCCTTTTGTAGTGGCTTCCCTACAGGGATTACGGATTAGGATTGGCGAACCCTCCATTTTGAACAGCACAAGATTTTACTTGTAGAGTTTTTGTCGCGTCAAGGGATCATCAAGCATGAAACTGGTTTCCCCCATATGGGGCTGGAGGTCTGATATTGTGAACCAACCCACCCGGAAAAAGGTTTGCGCAGGCCCAGATCCATGGGGGATTCCCATGCTTTCAAATGATCTTCCAGGAAACTCTGCGTAGGTTCTATGTTTACTTGTGGGAGGGTACCATTCTTAAGCTACTTTCAAGGGAAACCAAAAGGGGAATCCATTTTTCTAAAATCAGGGGAGACCCTCGGTCGTTCATGCTAAAGCAGACGGTGCAGTATGCTGTAGGGGTCCAAATAATGGCGTACTTCAAAACCAAATTAGGAGAACAATAAGTGAATGCAATTCGCTCTTACTGTTACACATAAACCAGGCCTTATCCTGAGGCAGGGGTTAGTACCAAAATGGGAAGCTCCAATTTCTGCAATGTTGAATCTTTTGAGTCCTTTTGAGATTGCTTCCAGCTTTACGGCTGGCTTGCGAAAGGGACCCAATACCGGTCCCAGTACCAGAAATCTTCCTGTTGGCAACGGTGGCTCCTGTCCAGATGCGACGCATAGAAGTTGGGTCTCCCCAAAAGAACACTACAGCATCAAATGACCCATCTCAGTTTGCCGAGTTGTTTCCACTAAGCCACACAAAGGAGAATGGAGTACCCCGCCTTTTTCTTCCGTGGCCTCTGAAAGTGGGCTGCCTGCATTGGCCCTCGAGGCTTCGAGCAAGCTGCGGCCCTGGGAGTCGGAGGTGAGGAAAAAATTGAACAGGATAGATGGCCAGGTGTCCCTTGGGTGTGTTTGTGGTTCGGATCTGGACCCCAGCAAAATGGTGGTCTTCCTTTTGGCTTCCTTTAAAAAACCACAAGAAGGGTACCCTCAAAGCGCAGCCAGTTGGTGGTTTGGATTCGCGTTGAACCGCAAGTCACTTTACAGGGCAAATGGTAAGGCCCCAAACCTCCAAACCGCCAATCACCAATTAGAGGGAAGCTGGGATGTCATAGGTGTCCTTTTTGGTTGCTATCCTGAAACAGGTCCAAACATATTACCACATGAACAGCATTGTCTACTTGTGCAGCAACATATCCTTGCCACACTTCCAAACCTAGCGACATGCTCTTGCTCAGGTGGGTTAACCTTTTCGCACAAGCTGCAAATAAATGGGAGGTTGTGGCGCGTTGCCCGGGAAGGTCGACCTAGTGGAAAAGTTCCAGGAGGCTGCAACATGTGGGCGCAAAAGGATGATAAATCGAAACAGAAGCACGCACTTCGCCTATCTTCTCGCGCTGAATGGCCGCGAATTCCGAGAAGGATCCATTCTTCGAGATACTTTCTATAACTTCAAACCGATGTGCAAAGCAATACAAGCAGAGCTGTGAATGCAATACAAGCAGCCTCGGCAAGAAAAGCTGAGCAAGCCTCCGCAAGAAGACCTGTGCACGTCGTGGCTGTGCAAGAAAGGCTGCGCAAGGAGGCGCTGTGCAAATCACCATCAAAACAATGATAATGATAATCACCATCACCATCATCACCATCACCATCACCATCACCATCATCATCATCATCATCATCATCATCATCATCATCATCATCATCATCATCATCATCATCATCATAGATCTCAGTTGCTGTGTAAAGGTTTGTACTGTGAGTAGTCTGGTCATAGCAAAGTCACGAGAGAAGTGTTTCTCTCGAAGATGACGCGTAGGCCTGAAGAAACCTCATGAAAGGCTTTCAGACGCTTCTTTGCTTGCCGAGGACCGCATGTGCCAGCTCCTCACGTCTGTTCGGCACAAGGCAACCGGCACTGCATAACTGGCTGTGCCTGTTGGTCTCTTGTTAAACTCACGGACGTCTTTTTGCACCAGGGTCAACATGAAGACGGGCTCCAAAAACGCGAAAGAGAACACCTGTCATTTCCACATTTAGGTGTGTCTGTTTGTTGAGGGTACCCCTTTTTGGGCAGTGTTAGAGCGAAACCAAAAGGAACACCACCTTTTGCCCGTGTCTCCCGGCTGGTGTCCTTTTGGCTTCCCTGGACCAACCCAAATTAAGGAAGGCCAGGGAAGTCCAGGGAAAAAGAGGAAAACAAGGCTTCCCTGGTACACTTTCGACCTTGAGAAGCTCCCATGTGAGTCTCAGTTCGCGCAAAAGAAGCTCGATCCGAAGATTTGGAGCTTGGTTCGACTACCAGGAGATATACATGCCAGAGCAGCAGTCTGGTTTATGTACTAAGAGGTAGAGGGAAGTGATCGGTTCTCAGGTTTGGCCAAAGAGGCGTCGAGGCCACTGGGATTTGGCTTAAAAAAGAGCCCATCTGACAGTCCGTGGGGGTGGTGAACCTGTGCTATGAGAAGGATGTGCTCAAGGAGGGGCTTTTGCGCACTGCGAAACTCGGGGCAGGAGTTGGATTGCAGCGGTAAAAGTGGGAGCAAGTGTGGCTTTGGCTATAACTTCCCTGAAACTTGACATGGAGCCCCGGAGGCTGTATGAATGTCGGTTTGGGCACAGCCACGTGGATTTCTAGCCTAACAAAGGCGAGCGAGCACAGAGGAGCGGCGATGGCGAGGCGCCGGATATTTCGTGGGCTCCTTGGAGCAAGAAGGGCTTGGGCCTTAGAGGCCTTCGTCCGGCGAGTTTTGCGAGTTTTGACAAAGCTGGCCTTGGGGCCAATCTTTGTCCTGGGTTTCCCTCAGAGACCAGCTCCGGTGAAATTGAAACAGAGGTGGGATCTATGGTTCTGTCGAACGCCCAATTCGGTTGTTTGGGACTTGCCTCCATGGTTAGTGGCCATGCATAAGCCTGTTTGGCTGTTTGGGAATGATCCAAACTGGCCATCTGAATATCTCATGATTGATAGATTCATTCATTCCCTTTTCTGCAAAGAGCTGGCATGATATAAGCCTCAGGGCTCGTACAGAGGTCCTTCGTGGGTCTGGGGGATAGCTAACCACTCGGCGTGCACTTGTGATCGCCTTAATGCCGCAAGATTTGGCACAAGCAAACAAATGTGTGACGCAGCTCGTGCAGATGGGCAACAAGCATCATCCGGGAATAGTCTTAGCTGTTCTCTTGACGGCCGATGAACATGAGCTTGCGAGTTTCATTGCCCTTTGGGATGTGCGTTCGCCTGGTTTCGCGGTATGTTGATTCGAGCCAGGGCATTTTGGACGAATGGAACAAAAGAAATGTGAACCGAGTTGTCCGCCGTGCTGTCAAGTTGAGGCTTGATGATGATGATGATGAGTTGAATGTGTTTGGACCAATGCCAGCTACGCATGCGGCAAGTGTTTAGGCAAACAGTCACAGACCCCCCAAAGTGAAAGCGCCAAAACGTTCAAGAGAAGCCATTCACCGCTGCCAATGATGATTTTACTCCATTCACCCACTTACTTTGTGGCTGTTGGAGACAGCCCCGAAGGACCAAGCCACCCGTCCCTAGCCACCCGTTCCGTTGATGGTCTTCGTGGTGGTGGCCAGCCGAAGCGCGCCCAAGGTGGAAGCCGCGAGGAGGGGCTTCCAGCGCCTCTTGGCCCAGTGGGCAAGTTGGAGGGGTTCAAGGGGGTGGGGGGGTTGGGGTTGGGGGTTTGGGGGGGTTGTTGGGGGGGTTGGGGGGGTTGGGGCCAGTCTTTGTTTGAGCGGGCAACCGGAGATTTGGGCTGGTTTTAAGAAATTTGGGCTGGTTTTAAGAAAAACCAACAGGAGACCCACTGTCTTTGGGGGATCGAACCTTCAAAAAGACACCCATTTCGCAGAGACCTCATTGGAATAAGCCTACATGGTGTGAAATGAATGTTTCCACCAAGGGGGGTCTTCCTGTGTCCCTTTAAGTCTAAGGGGGTAGAATAGACCCAGAAACCACGCATTTCAGGCTCGCAAGTGAAGCTTGCCCGCAAATCCGTTAAGATATTCAGGGTGTCATCCCGAGATCGGTCCGTTGATCGAGTTTTGTCGATTTCAGAAGGGTTGGAACAGGGAAAAGGGGTATCTTGGTTGACACATCCCGGCGAAGCTTGAGGCTTGGAGAAAGCCGCGACCATCACTGGGGCGCCTTGGAGAGGTAGCTGACTGAAAGACATGCGTCATGGGCGGGGATGTGGGTTCTCCGAAAACCGTTCGGTTGATATCCGTTGGTTTCCCTCGCCTTGAGCGTCTAAATGGATTCGCTGATTTACCCAGTTTCAGTCGACAGGCCAGTGTGGTTGAGGAACTAGCTGGGTCTCAGGCCTTCGTTCCAATGGTCCCTGAAAGAAGACAACACGTTTAGTTGGTTGAAGGAAACAAACATTCGATGTTCCTTGAGATTCGTTTAGTTGAGGTGTCCCCTACTTTGACCCCCAGATGTTCATGTCTTGGCCATTGAGAGCCCGCCAAAGGGAGGCAAATTGAACTGTTTAAGGATGCCTTTTTCCAGGGCATCGCGGAACTTGGTTTTGGATCAGCGTGAGCTCTGGCCCCAAAGGGCCCTTTTGACACGTATGCCATATGACATGGTAGATGAGTTCTCTACTCGTGCCACGAGAACAAAACTACAATGTGCCTCGAGATCGCTTTGATCTTCAATCCCTCAGTTGTTCAGTGACACCCTTTTTCCTTTTTTTTGGTGGCTGCCCCACTAAGAATGGTCCAAGCCCCCAAAAAGGGTTCCCCTTTTTTTCCAGGGTCACTGAACAACTGAGATCCTGTGAACTTGAACATCCGATCTTGGTGAGCCTTCCTCGAAGCAAAAGATCGACATGGTGAACAGGCTCAGGCTCGACGTCTTGACTGTTCCCTCATTTCCGCATGAGGCAACCATACCAAGAGATGAACAGACTCCAAGGGTAGAAAGTTCGTGGGGCTGCTCTTGTGCTCCCATTACCGACCGATTTGACTTTCCTTTTGCTTCCGGGTCTTCGGAACGCTCCATAAGGTCAGCTAGAAATCTCCCCAATGTGGGGATAGGGCCAGGCCAAACCTTGCGCGGAATGTGTTGAAAAAAGTTAGCAGGGAAAGTCCGGTCAGTTCTACGCTCTTTGGATATAAAGTTAATCGACTATTTGGCGATATTTGGTATGGTTTCCCAGCTTGGCTGCAGCCCCGTTTGACCTATTGCTGTTTTCACCAACGAAAGTTGACGAAACTGAGGAAACAAGACAGGAAAATATATGATGAAACCCTGAAGAGCCTCAAGCAGGAAGTACCGAGTAACCTTTCAACCTTTTGGAGAATGAGACGAGTTCTCCGCAGCACCGCCAATCAGTCAAGAAACTGGGCTGTACGCTGATCCGCTGCTCAAAGTCCAACTTCCGTGGGTGATATGGAAACCCCGTCTAAACCGCCACTTTTGGAGGGTGCAGAAAGGGAAATGGAGGAAACCCTAACTTGCCCAAACAACCTGTAAATAAGCACTTACCTTGTTGGGCCACTACACGAAGACGGCAGGAAGTCAAAGGCAAACCCTAAGCACCTGAAATCCTAAGCCTCGCTGGTTTTCCTTTTGATGTGGCTCAGGTGGAGGTGGAGAGCGGGGTCCCTGCGCAGCCCAAAGGCGAGCAGACCCGGCAGGGCGCGCTGAACCGTCTCCGAGCGGCGCGCGCTACGGCGCCTCGAAAGTGAAATCCGAAAGCGAGCGATGTCTTCCATTTGCTTAAGCAGATTTGTCATTTTCCCCTTTTGGTTTCAAAGGGAATCGATTTCACTACTGGACATTTGTTTGTTTGTTTTAAGGGTGTTAAAGGTTTTCATTTTCCCCTTTTGGTTTCAAAGGGAAATCTATCACTGGCCATATTTTTGTATTTTATCCCGGGGGCTTAAGCAAATGGAGGATGCGCGTCCTGTTCTCGACAGTTTGGTTCGGAGTGGATGGCACCGGTTTCAGTTTGGTTCTAGTTCCTAGTTGTGTATCAATACCACATCATGGTTGTTGTTGAGAAAATTTCTACATGTTTGCCTCTTGTGGTTTAGTGGTTGACGTCCAGCCACTTTGCTAAAAATCGAATTGTTGCTCCCCTTAGGTCAACCAAGTTTTCAGGAAAGCCCAAGCCCAAAGAAAGCCTCAAACCAACGGTAAACCCAATAAGCCCCAAACCAAGCCTCTGGTCAGGATACCCTTCCGGTTCCGATTCTTAGGTTGGTCTTCAAAGGCGAAGCCAAGAATTTGCCGCATTTTGCCAGGTGAAGCCTTTTGCTTGGTGGTTTGCAGTGGCTTGGAATTTCGAGCGCCTCGCGGGTAAGTAGCTGGCTTTTGATCCTTTCAGTCCATGTTTTAGGGGGGAATGGATGAAAAAAGATTTTGACACAGGCAAATACCCCGGGTCAAAACACTCGATTGCTTGGCACCGGGAATGTGCAACCCTCACATGGGTTACATCCCTTCCCAGGACTCGACGGCATAAAATCGCTCTCAAGCTGTGTGTCTCCAGTGAAGCCTTGCCAGGTAGGTCTTAGCTAGGAAAAACAACCGGGGCTGGGGTAGTCGGGGCAGTGGAGGGGTTGGGATCCTATGAATGCAGAAGGGTCCGTTGTTGATATTTTTCGCAGAGCCAGGGATGGCGTACATTTCTTGTGTGGTCTTCAAGTCTCTCATGATTCGGCCGTGCACATGCTTGCTTTGACCTTGTGTGCTGCTGTGTTTTGTTCAGCATGGGGCACTCGGGATGGCTACCATCAACGAGTTGTTTGGTTTTGCTTGGCTTTTCAGCTTGAGCCTCTGGCAAATGCACAGGCAGAGGGGGCTCGCGCGGACTTCTGCATTGCCTTTGAGGGCGGAGTTGAAGAAGATTCTGCAGGCCGCTTGGTTTGCTTCGCAGTGGTAGCTCGGCCGCATGGCTGTTCCCAGCGTTCTCCCCCCTCTGCCCAACCGCCGCTCGATCTGGAGCGGTCCAGGGCTTTATGCCGGTTATTCTCCGCTTCCTTGAGTGTCCTTTTGAATGCAAGCCGGGGAAAGAGGCGAACGGTCCAAAATGAGAGTCTGATCAGTCCGGAAGTCGTGCAGAATGGTGTCACTCCGGAAGGGGTGTCACTCCGGAAGGGGTGTCATCGCGTCATGCCGTGTCAAACAGCTGCAACCGAAGCAAAGTCCCTGAGTTCGGCGCAGTCCAATCCCCGCAGGTTTGTGTGCAGTTCCGCGACGACGAATTCATCAGCGAGGCCTTGGGATTACACCCTTGGGAAATGACCCAGAATGGTTCAAAATAGCACGGTGTTATCCGGAAATGTGCTTAAATGGGGTCCAGTGGGTATTCCCAGGGTGTAATACAAAAACCCTTAGAAAAGACCACCTCTAGGGGCTTGAAAGGTCTGAGGTCCAGCGCAAAGGATGGTGTGTAGGGCACCTGTACAAGCAGTCACTGACCGTCCTCAACTATCATGGAATCCCAAGAGTTTTTAAGGTTTCTCAATGAACCGGAGTGAGGCTTGTTCTCCTTGGGGCCTGGGCTGTTCGGTTTGCCTCCATGAGATTCTTTCGAGCCAGGTCCGCAGTGCAACGCATTCCATTCCGCCGGGGATTGAGCTCCTCGACTGCAGCCGGCCGCGGATTGCAAAACCAGCCCTTGGACCTCCGAAACAAAACCTATTTGAGTGTGTGTGTGTGTGTGTGTGTTTGTTTGTTTGGTTGTTTGTT